TTTCCCCATTCAAGTTTCCAGGCACCTCCCCCATTCTTCTCTGGCCCCTTTGGGTGGGCACCCGTGGTGCCCAGTGAAGAAGTCCCAGTCTAGTGGGTCCCTGCGTCGCTGGGGATCTTGGAACATTTCACTCGGCCCTGGGACCTCAATGCTTCTTGTCCCCTGGGCCGGGCCCTAGGAAGGGACCTAGTTCCTAGTTTTCCAACTGCAGCTGCCCCTAGAGCTCACATGACTGAATCGGAGTAAAGAATCCTTTTTCCCTGTCCGGATTTCCCCCATTTTCTCATTTGCCAAACTCAGCTACACAAAAGATTTTCTTAGAAAACCAGGTGGCCCACCACCCCAGCCCCTCCTCCCTAAAAGTCTCTGGGATGAAGGGGGGGGAGTGCATTCAGGAACAGGCGGGAACTGGTGACATCAGCAAGTCCCACCTGGGCTGCAGAGCCTGCCCAGAAGAGAGAAGGAAGCCATATCTGCTTTCAGCAGAACCCAGGGAGGGCCCCAGGGCCCCAGAGGGAGACAGGAGCACATTCCAAGCTGGCTGCTTGCGGTTATCTCTCTTGGGCCAATTTTCTCTGTCTCTCCTCTGGCTTCCTGCTTCTAGGCGATAAGGTACAATAACGTTACATAGGTATGGCTTGAAAAAAACCATCTTTTCATGGGAAGGGTGAGGAAGGAGCCCAGGACCTGGGGTTCTGATCCCGGCTCTGTCATTAACTTGGGGTGTGGTTGATGGCCCCTCTTTGAGCCTCCTGCTCCCCATCCATACGATAAGGGGGCTGATCTTGGTACCCCAGGCTCCTTCCAGCTCCGAAATCCTACAACCGGCCCTTATTAAGAAGCAGAATGGGAGCAAGGCTGTGGTCATTTGCTCCCCTACTTTGGAGGACCCATACAAACTGAGGTCCCAAGTTTCTGCCCCTGGGTTTGGCAAACCTCTCAATAACCTCACCTGGGGTGCGTTTGGGAGTCTACCGATAATGATTGCTGTCTTCTATTCTTACAAACATGCCCAGTGCCAAGGGCCTCCAGGCGCCAGTATGGATTTTAAGAATCCATCCTCCCATCTCCTGGCTTGGGGAGCCAAAGTCTGGGGTCCGTTAGGCAAGGCGGGGGATGATAGCACAGGGCTGGCCTCTGCCCTCCTTGACTCCAATCCCCACAAAGCCATAGGCATCCAACCGCTAGTGACCATGAGACTCACAGGCCCACAGAGTCCAAGTGGGAAGGGGCTCCGAGACCCTGGAGTCCTGCTCATTTTACAGGGCCATGGGGGGACTGAAGCGCAGCATGAACGTGACTTGTCCAATGCCGTGTGGCTTGACCGGTCACCCAGCTCCAGTCACTGCACCCTATTTCCTCCTGCCCTGGGTCCCAGGGCCCATTCCAATGCAGAACGGCTGCATGCCAGTCTTTGGGATTTCACTAGGGACGACCCTGGATTCAGAACCAGAAGATGCTTCAGAGGCCATCTTGCCTGAGCATCTCATTTTTACAGGCTGAAATGGCTGGGGAATCTGCCTGGCAGATGCAGAGCCGGGAAGCCCCTCCTCTAACTTGGGCCCTGCTGGGCAGGGCGGGCTGCTGCCTCTGAGCTGGTGGACAGAGCTGGCCAAGTGCACTGAAAGCCTGGTCCAGGTTTGGCCATGGGTGCCCCCCATCATCTTGTACCAATTTCCCTGTGCCAACTTCAGCTGTCTGCAACCTGGGGTCCAAAAGTTATCCTTTAAAAAATATGTTCTGGTCACTGCATTTCAGTGGAATTGGTTTCCTTTGTCGTAACCTCGTGTATATTACACCTTTGAAAATAGCAGACTCCTGAAAAGGGGTCCCACCTTGTTTCCCAGACTGCCAAAAGGGTCCAGGAACAACAGAGGTGAAGAACCCCTCCTTCCCTGGTCCCTCTGCAGTCTTTCTCCGTTCCCTCCCCAGCATCGCCCCATTGACCTCCCCCCCGGAACCACCAGGTATACACGGATCTCTGCAGACTCTCAGTCTCCCTATCCGGAATTAAATTTCCTTGGGGACAGAGGTCACTTTTGTCTTTGTTCCCCCCCTCCCAAGTTCTTTAAGTTCTCGAAGAGAAAGGTTTAATTTTTTTTTTCTGGTCTTTGTGTGGACATCGAACGTGACGTCCAGACTATCTGGTTGTTGATTGACTTGGATGACCTTGGGCAAGGCTGGTCATTTCTGGGGCCTCAGTTTCCCCATCTATAAAACGGGGGGGGGCTTGGAAATCAGACATCCAGGGTTGGAATGTCGGAGACCGGCTGGTCCAACGCCCTTCACAAGGGATGGGAGGGGGGCTCCGCACCCCGCACTCTTTCCAGTGCTCGAACCCTGACTCTGGGCTCAGATTCTGGAGATCCCAGCCCTCCAGTGAGGGCCACCAGGGTCCACCTCTGCAGCTGCAGGGCTGGGAGGGGGTGGCCTCGCTCCAGTGGCGGCGCTGAAACCCCCTCCCCAATTTCTCTTCACTCCCGGGGGGGGGGCCCATCCCAAATGCAATCCCCTCCTAAAAACGGGGGAAAAGAAAGTCATCTCAGACAAAGGGGCGCGTGGATCCAGCCTAGGCTCCCTCAATAACCCCCCTCCCCATCCACAGCGTCCCCCCACCCCAAGACCTAACGCAAGGCTGGCTGTGGGCAGGGGAGGGGGGAGAGCGCGGTGTTGGGAACAGCGTGAGATTCGAGACTCCGCTCGCCTCCCCCCAGGGGACGAGAAGAGCCACCCCCCCTTCCCCCGTCTCCAGAGCGCAGACTCAGACGGAGGGGGCTGAGGGGGAGCGGGCGGCGAAGGGCGGAGGCCGCAGGTCCCGTGATGCCAAGGCCCGCCCCCCGCGCACCCCCCGCGCAGCCATTGGCGGGGGTTGACGTCACGCGGGGCGGGGCCTCGGCGCGGCATAAAAGGCGTGCGCGGGCGCCCCAGAGTCGCCAGAAGCGCAGGTAAAGGGAGTCGCTGCGGTTTCCTGCTTCAACAGTGCTTGAACGGAACCCGCTGCTCGATTCCCGGCCGGAGCCGCCCTTAGCCACCTCTCCACCTTCACCTCCACTAACCAACACTTCTTCCGTCCTCCCGTTCGAGCAGCAGCCGCCCGCCTCAGCCGCCCCCGGCCGTCGCCGCCGCCGCCGCCGCCCCCCAGCCTCAGCCGCAGCCGCTGCGCAGCCGCCTCCTCCCGCCTCCTCCTCCTCCTTCTTCTTTTCGCCGACTCCGCCATCTCCGCCGCCATGACGACCTCGTCCCCCTCTCAGGTGCGACAGAACTACCACCAGGACTCGGAGGCCGCCATCAACCGGCAGATCAACCTGGAGCTCTACGCCTCCTACGTTTACCTGTCCATGGTGAGGACGGGCCCCGGGGGGTGGGGGCGGGGGCGAGGGCGCCCCTCCCCTTCCTCCCCTTCCACCCGCCCTGCGCCCCTCCCCCTCCCTCCCACCGAGCGGAGTGGGCCGGGGCGGGGGAGTCTGCGCCGGCGCAGTGTCGGCTGTACCAAGCCCCGCCCCTTCCGAACCCCCCCCCCCTCCCGAGAGCTGGGGCCATGCGGGGCAGGGCGGAGCCCGGGCTAGGAGAATGGCCAAGATGCAGGGGGGTGGGGGCGGCCCCTCCCCTCACTGGGTCCTCTCTGTCTTGACCCCTGGTTTTAACGCTCGGGGTCCGGAGGGCAGTCTGGTGCCCAGTTTGACCTTGAGCCGCTTTCATTAGCATCCCCCGCCTGTTGGGGTCTTGCAGGGGCGAACACCCCCTTAATACATGGACATCTGGGTTGGTCGTGCAAAGAAAACACAAGGAGCCCAGGAACAGCATCTCGTTAGAGGTTGCTATTCTGTGGCTCAGATATGTCGAGCACAAAAACGCAGAGACCCCAGCCCCAGTCTGGCCATATTGCCTGGAAAGGGTGTCGTATCACCAATTCCAGGAGTGGGCTGAGCTCATCGGAACCTTTGGGTGATGGCTTTAGGTGCTAAGACCCTAGAAGGAAAGTGAAGGTCTGATGGTGGCAGTTATTTGGCCCGAGGTCATCCTTGAAATGATGCTCGATGACCCCGTAATTGTCCTTCTGGGGTCCTGTGTTTTGGTTCAGTAGGGCTCCGTCCCCAGGAGTTGGAGAATAATCCAGGTTTTGCCGTCTTTTCAGTCTTACTACTTCGACCGAGATGACGTGGCGTTGAAGAACTTTGCCAAATATTTCCTCCACCAGTCCCACGAGGAGAGGGAGCATGCTGAGAGGCTGATGAAACTGCAGAACCAGCGAGGTGGCCGGATCTTCCTGCAAGACATCAAGGTGAGCGGGGACCCGGAAGGAGCTCCACAGGTGGGTGGGGGGCTCCGCATAGCGAGCTGGGGCTCACCAGACTGACCTCTGTGTTACAGAAACCAGACCGAGATGACTGGGAGAGTGGGCTGAACGCAATGGAGTGTGCTCTGCACTTGGAAAAAAATGTCAATCAGTCTTTACTGGAATTGCACAAGCTGGCAACTGACAAGAACGGACCCCCAGGTGAGTATCTGGCCCCCCCCCCCAGGCACACCGGAGAACTGGATCAGTTCTTAGGAAGCTACTCCCTCTTTCCACAGTGATCAATGAATGTTACCAACAGCCTTGCCTTTCTTCTTTCAGTTATGTGATTTCATCGAAACCCACTACCTGGACGAACAGGTAAAGTCCATCAAACAACTGGGTGATCACGTAACCAACCTGCGCAAAATGGGGGCCCCCGATTCTGGCATGGCGGAATATCTTTTTGACAAGCACACCCTCGGAGACAGTGACAACCAGAGCTAAGCCACGCCTGGCTTCGCCCACACTTGGGAACTGTGGGTGTGACTCCTGCTGTCTTTCAGTGCATGCATATTTTGGTTATCTGACCTTTTCATAATCTGTACCAAAAAACTACCACCATTTACATCCCAATAAAGTGACTTGGTACTGATGAAAATCACTGTGTGCTGAGTTTTTATTTTGGGAGGAAATACACTGTATGTGGAAATCTATTTCAGTTACACAGGCTGAAGAAGCCAGTTGGCTAGGGCTGTAGGGCTCGATAAAGAGATAATTTGGGTTGATTTAAGCTGATCTAGTGTAGATACACCTAGTGTATTGGGCTAATGAGCCCCTTGGGTTTCCAGGACTGGGGCTGATGAATCCTCTGGGTTGGGGGGGGCATGATGGACACCCCTTAAGTAACCCTAGTCCGAGGAAGAAGGATGAACTTCCCATAAAGCAGTCCCAATGGACTTGAGGTTTGTTGCCCAGAATTCCCCATCCAGGATCTGCCCTAAATTTTAGTTGGCGTGAGACGAGAAGCCCTTTGTTCAAGCTATGCAGGGACTCCTCCCCTTTCTTCAAGAGAAGCTAAGCGTAGTGATGACCATTGGGACGGGCTTCTCATCCAGCTCTGTTCATCTGCTCCTGTTCACCCAGCAAGCTCACTGAGGAAATGAAGTTTAGGATAAGATGGTGGCCTAGTCAGTGGTGGGGTGCGGTGGAGTCCCACTCCTTGAACCCAGGAGTGGGCTTGGCAGACAGCCCCTCAGGCCAGGCTAGGGACAGAGTTGCTTGACAGAATTAGGGTTAGGGTAAGGGTTAGTCTCCCATGAGACCACTGCCCCCTGTCTGCAGAGTGCTGGTGGTTTGACATAACCCCAATAAATCCCAGTGGTTTCTTAATCCTACCCACTCTGTAGGCTAGGGATTTCACTAAAATCCTATGTACAGACTGGGAGAGGGCCTCTTGAAATGCAGGGGAATTCTGAGCTCCCACAAAACTGTTAGTGTTTGGAGACAAGTGTCATCCCCAGCACAAGAGCTGAGACTGCTCGTCCTTAGGCCCAGTCACCCCACCCCCCTGGCCCAGCCTGGCCTCCATCCCAAACCAGAAGGCTAAGTGAATGTGAAAGTGGGAGTCACCACTCCGGACCACATTGCTTTGTTTCTTCTTTTTTAGCATGTGGGCTGAGAGCTTGAGGGTTCAGGATATTTTGAGTCTTTTGTGGTTGAAGGAAACAGCTGACTGCTGTAAGAAGGGAGAAGCTTGACCGGACAGGCTGCTGGGGAGGTGGCGGCTAGCTGTCCTCCTGAATAGTGCTCGGCCTGTGGGAGAGAAGGAATAATAAAGAAGCAGCTTTGGCTGGTCCTGCACTGCCCCTTTTAGTGAGCAGATGGGAGTAACTGAGGCAGTCATGGTGCCCTTCCGCCCTTCTTTCCTTCCTTCCTTCCTGTCTTTGTTTCCTTTCCTTTCTTCCTGCGTTCTTTATTTACTTCCCTTTCTTTCCTTCCTTCCCTCTTTCCCTCCTCCTTCTCCTTCCTTTCTTTCCTCCCTCCCTCTTTCTCATCCCTCTTCTTTCCTGCCTGCCTTCCTTCCTTCTCTTCTTTCTCTTCCTCCCTTTTCTCTCCCTCCCTTCCCTCTTTCTTTTTTTCTTTTTTCCTCCCTCCCTTCCTCCCTCCCTCCCTTCCTTCCTTCCTTCCTCCCTCCCTCCTCCCTTTTCTCCATCCCACCTGCCTTCCTGCCTTCTTCCTTCCTTCTTGCCTCCTTCCTTCTTTTCTGTTTCTTTTTCTTTCTTCCTGACTTCTTTATTTCCTTCCCTCTTTCCCTCCCTCTTTGTTTCCTCCCTCTCCTTCCCCTTCCTTTCTTTTCCTTTCTTTCCTCCCTTGCTCCCTTTTTCTCATCCCTCTTCTTTCCTGCCTTCCTCCCTCCCTCCCTTCCTCCCTCCTTCCCTCCCTTCCTTCCTCCCTCCCTTCCTCCCTTCTTCCCTCCCTTTCTCCCTCCCTCCCTCCTTTCCTCCATCCCTCCCTCCCTTCCTTCCTTCCCGCCTTCTTCCTTCTTGCCTCCTTCCTTCCTTTCTTTGTTTCTTTTTCTTTCTTCCTGCCTTCTTTATTTCCTTCCCTTCCTTCCCTCTTTCCCTCCCTCTTCGTTTCCTCCCTCTCCTTCCCCTTCCTTTCTTTTCCTTTCTTTCCTCCCTTCCTCCCTCTTTCTCCTCCCTCTTCTTTCCTGCCTTCCTTCCTTCCCTTCCTTTTCTCTCCCTTCTTTCCCTCTCTTTTCTTTCTTTTTTCCTCCCTCCCTCCCTTTCTTCCTTCCTTTCTTCTTTCTTTCTCCGCTGACTGGCTTTCTCCTCTGCTGTCTAGTTCAGTTTGGCCAGGGGTCTGCTCTGTAAGGGAACAGAAGGAACTGCCCAGGGAAGCCTCAGACCCTGGCCCCTGAGTTGAGGCCCTGGGGCACAGGCTAACTGAACCTGCCCACTTGCCCCGAGTCAGGAAAGTCACTTCTTTCCCCGATTGTTTCTATCAGCCCCACCAAATCTCCCTCTGCCAGGGAGATGCCTGAGTCTTTGGGGGAAGGATGCTCAGCAGCTGCCCTGTGCTCTCTGGTGAAAAGGACATCACTTACAGTCCCCACATCTTTCGGAGGCCCCGACGTTTCCATGGAGACCTGGCCAAGGGCGCTGGGTCCATTGTCCTCCGAGCCGGGCACAGCAGCTTTGTTGTGCCTGACTGGAGGGAGCAATGGAGGTGCCAGAGGGATGGAGCTGGGCAGGGAAGGATCATCACTGGGGCTGCCCACTGCAGCAGGGAGTGACTCTGAACAGAGCACAGATGTGTTCCGCAGGGCCAGCCAGGGCTGCCAGGGGCTTCTGGGTCTCCTAAAGTTGTCTGGCTTCTCCACGTCGGGAGATGCAGCCTGAAAGAGGAAGTTAGGGCTCTCCAAGGCTGTGGTCTGGGCCTCGGGGGTTCCCGGGGCACTAAGGCCTTCATTTTTCCTGGGCAGGTGGTCCTCCAGGGTGGCCACCAAGGAGGCATCAGGAGCTGTGCCTCTCTCTGTGGGCCAGACGAAACCTTCCCTCACGCTGGAAGTCACAGAGTTTTGGCTCGCATCCATGTCGCTGGCCTGCGACGGGCAGAAATTGGTACCATTGTCCTTGGTGAGGGATGAGGTGGTCTGGACGCTGGAGAGAGCAGCGGCTCTTCTGCCTGGCGGACGCCTCAGGGGGAAAACCGGAGGGAAGGAGCTGATGGGCGTCTGGGGGGCACTGTAGAAGCCGGGCCTCTCATCGAAAGGGCTGGAGATGAAGGCGTCCAGCTCCCGAAGCTTAGAATCTTCACTGTCCCACTGTTCCCTCAAGCTGGAAGCAGCCTGTGCAGAGGTCCAGGCACTTCTGGGCTTGCCCACATCCTGGTACGGGTAATCCCTCCTCCGGAGCAGGTTCATTCTGGAGGCAGACCTGGTGAAGCCGGCTGGCTGCACCCCCAGGAGGCGGCTGAAAGGCCCCATCAACGGAGTGGAGTGTCTGGCTTCTTCATTCTCCTTAATCTGCTCCAGGAGCTGAAATTCCATCTCTTCCTTTTGCATGCTGCGAAGAGGTAAAATCCCCACCTGGTGAGCCGGGGTCAGGACCCACCCCTCCCAGCCACATCTACCCCTCAAAATGAACCTTTGCTCAGCCTACAGAAGGCACTGACAGGCGGGGAAAGAGCAAATACTTGTCCCTTACACTTCTACAGTAATAATTCGCATTTGGCTATCACGTCAGAATCTATGAAACGCCTTTGTGTTCATGATCTCCATTGGTCCTTACCACCCCATTCATGTAACCAAGTATTATCACTCCAATTTACAGATGAAGAAAAAGACTCAGTGAGGAAGCTGAGGCCTGTGGGGGTGAAATGACCTTGCCCGAGGTCAGAGTGGAAGAGATCAGAGTCTTGGAGGCTTCAGGCATTGAAGTCTAGTAGAGAGAGCACCAGCTGCAGTCAGAGGACCTGAGCTGGAATCCCACCACTTTGCTAGTTAGGTCATGTGTGCTGGTTACTTTGGCAAATAGAAATCTCCCCTCTGAGACTCACTACTTGTGTGATGTTGGACATGTCGCTTCACCTCAGCCTGCCTCAGTTTCCTCACATGTAAAATGGGAATATAACAGCATCTATGTCCCCGAGTTGTTGTTTGGATAAATGACATAATATTTGTATAGTGCTTTGTAAACCTAAAGCACTATATAAATGCTAGTAGGTAATTCGACGACTTTCTCGTTTGGTAAGGTATCTGCATTCCCTTCCAGCTCTAAATTCTATGATTCTGAGACTTGCAGCCCTAAATCTCATGATTTCCTGAAATTGCGAATGGTAGGATTGCAGATATTGGAGCATCCAAATGGGGTACTTGCTTTGAGTCCTTCCTGGCGCTTCTCAGATCACACCACTAGGGGACCCCCAACACCCAGGCAACAGTCCGCCATCCACAACGGTCGCCATTGCAGAACGGCTCTCCTGAGCCCCTTTCGCCTCTGAAATTCCGCCGTTCTGTATGGGATCCATGCAAGGAGTGATGGGGTGACTCAAGCCTTCCCCAAAGCAATGCACCACTCAAAGAAATGGGAGCTGGCGGAGGAGGCGTCTCAGGGCTGAGGGAAGAAGTGTCCCAGATTTAGAAATCAGAGGATTTGGGTTTACATCCTAATTCTGCGGCTTCCTTCCCAGATGGGACCTTGGGCTGGCCACCTTCATTCTCTGGGCCTCAGTTTCCTCATCTGCAAAATGGTGGGGTTGGACCAGATGACCCCTAAAGGTCCTCCCAGGTCTCAATTTAAGATTCAGGTCTCTGTGATTGTAACTGGAAAACCAGACTAAGATGGAGGAGGGTTTCATTTCCGGAGCCTAGCTGAAGAGCCCCTGAGCCTGCTAGGGGTTCAGAGTATCCCAGGGCTTAGAGCTGGATGGAATCCTAGAGAACTTGTAGCCCCACTCTTCACTTTTTCCTATTAATTTCTTCTCATAACGTTGTCACTGCAGTGCCATATTTTTAGGAGATGTGACTGTGGGTTAAGACTCTGGTGTCATTTGGAACGGTTGGGTTTGATGTTTATTATTATTCTATATGCTTGTTGGGATGTCCAAAAGACCAGATGTGCTATATAATAAAGGCCACATTAATATGAGAGAGAGAGACAGACAGAGAGAGACAGATACAGAGATGAGAGATAGAGAAGACAGAAAGAGAGAGGGAGAGACAGAGACAGAGAGATAGAGAAGACAGAGAGAGAGAGAGACAGAGAGAGAGAGGAGAGAGAGAGAGGCAGAGAGAAGAGAGAAAGGAGGCGGGAGAGAAAGAGAGGGAGAGAGAGGGGAAGAGATGGAGAAACAGAGAGAGAGAGAGAGAGAGAGAATGGCATCTTAGAGGTCCAAGTAAGGTGCCCAGGGGCACACAGCCAGGAAGAGTTAGCCATGAGGTCCCCGGCTCATTCTCTCTGATGAAGAGAGACAGCGAGTGTCTTGTGTTCATATCCTTCAGGCCTCTCTGCTCCAAGATGTTCTATCAGATCAGTCTACCTCCTTAGAAACCATTTCCCTCCAAGCCTCATGGGATTTTCCAGCAGATGAAAGGCCTTGCACTCCTCCCTCCATCTCCCCACCACTGGGGTGGGGGGCGAGGGAGGGCCATCCCGAGGCAGGGGGCTCACCTGATGTCGAAGGTGGAGCCCAGGAAGGAGGCCCGCTTGGACTCAGCAGCCGCGGCCGTGTAAGGCAGCTGGGGGGCTGGGTCATTCCAGTACGTGTCCTTTTCCAGGACTGGCAGGTCTTGGTGCATGTCATCCACAGCCAGAAGAGATACCTATGGGCGGGGAGGGGGAGAAGGAGAGAGAAAGAGGAAAGGGACTGAGCTGGGGAGCCCCAGGCCGTCCCCTGAAGTGCAGCTCTTGGGGTCAGTCACACTCTCCTTTTCTCCCCTCTGCCTGAATCTGACTGAAATTCAGCTGACAGTGAATGAACTTGATGAAGGAAGGGCAGGCTGCCATGGGGAAAGCCAGCTTCATCACATACTTCAGCCAGGCTGGCTCCTCTCCACTCCACCCCCCATCTTGGGTTTTTTGGCCTCCAGCCCTTGGCTGACACTGTTCCCTAGAACTGGAATGGCCTCCCTCCCCCTTTTGCCTTCCTTTAAATACCCACCTCAAATGCTACCCCCCCAGCTGGGCTTTCCCCATTTCCCCATCAGTAATATGCTCAGACCTCTCCCACAGGTCTATTCTCCTGCATTAAAGCCTCTAGTATGGAATATGTGTTACAACATCTCTTTTGGGCTTGTTGGATTATAAAATCCCTGAGGGCAGGGAGCCACACCCTTGTTAAATGTTGTAGCACCCTGGGCTGGAGGCACAGGGCTTGGCACGCAGTAGCTGTTTAATCAAAGTGTGTTGAATATGTAAATGAATGAATGGAATGTTTGTGAACAGGGAGGTCCCCTGGAGAAGAGGTCTGGCTTTCCCCGTTTAGGGGTTGTTTGTATGTATATGAGCCTCAGGTTTTTTGTTTTCTGTGTTTTGTTTTTAAATCCAAGCCTCCTTGACTCTTAGCACAGTAGCAGGCATATAGTACTTGATTAATAACTCTTAGTTGACTGACTGCTAGTTGACCTGCTTTAAGTCTGATCTCGTCATCCCCTCACTCAATAAATTCCCTTGATTCCCTAGTAGTGCTTAATATATGCCTTTAACAGGAGCTAGGTGGCAGGACTTGGAGTCAGGAAGCCCTAAGTTCAAATACAACTTCAGACACCTACTAGCTGTGTGACCCTGGGCAAGTCACTTAACCTCTGCCTGCCTCAGTTTCCTCATCTGTAAAATTTGGAGAGTTACAGCCCCTCCTGCATAAAGTCGTTGTGCTTTTTGAAGGCTAGCTAGCTGGTTTTTAGCTGACTGGTGACATGGGCTTGTTATGGAGAGCAGAAAAGTGAATGTGTCTGAGAACATTTTTATAAACCAGAAGTCAGCCACATGGGATGTATTTTTGTAACTCGCACTGGTATCTTGTCTCCTGTTGGACCAGAAGTTCCAGGGGATAAGGACTGTGTCATATCTAAATTCTTCTATGTCCCCACCAGCCAGCACAAGGTTGTTGCTTTTTTTTTTTTCTGTCTCAGTGCCCAGAATGGAGCAGGCCCACCACAGCAGCTCAGTACTAGCTGACCCCGTCATTCCTGTACCTGTAAGTTCCGGTCAATCAGCCAGTTGACCTCAAAGTCATCATCGTCCTCTCCAAAAGGGTTAATGAGCTGCTCAGCCACCTGGTAGAGGGAGAGGGGAGAGAGAGCAACGAACTGGTTCGGAAAACTCACGTCCTCAACCTTGTGGATTGATAGGACAGGCTCAGACCTCCAGGAAAGCTGCCGCTGAGGCCCCAGTGTCAGGCAGGCACAACTTCTGCCAGGCTGGACCCAATCCGGAGGTCACCGCCATATTGAGCGCTCGCTGACGCCTTCCTCTGTCCAAGCCCCTCCAAGTGTCTCAGTCTGGTGCTCAGCCTCCACCCCCCAGTATGGCATTACATGCCAGCCCAGATCCTTTCTGCCTCCAATCCTCCTCCGAGGCCCAGCTCAAGTTGAGCATCTTAGAACAGAAATCTTCAGTGATGGGAGGGGCCTTAGAACATAAAACGCCAGGTGGACATAGAACGTTAGAGCTGGAAGAAACCTAAGAATTTGGAACAGAGAAGATCTTATCTGAGAGGGGCCTTAGAACAGAGAACCTCATCATTGGAACAGAGAATGTCAGATCTGAGAGGATCCTGACTTTAAAAACAAAGAGAATGTCAAGGAGAAGCTAGGTAGCTCAGTGGATAAAGCAACCATCCCTGGACTCAGTAGGACCTGAGTTCCAATCCCAGCCTCAAATACTTACTAGCTGTGTGACCCTGGGCAAGTCACTTAACCCTGATTGCCTCTAAGAAAAAAAAAAGGAACGTTAGAGCTTAGAACATAGCTCACAGAACATCAGGGCTAGGAGGGAGCTTAGAACACAGAACTTAGAATGGCTGAGATGGCAGGAAGCTCAGAGACGGTCTAGTCCAATCCAGTCATTTTATAGAAAAGGACGTAAGAGACTAGAACATTCCTTCTGGCGATCACCATTGTTGCCGTCACTTAACCCCTGTTAGCCTTCTTTCTTCCGGGTCCCCATTCCTCCCCCTCCCCCACCGTCCCCTCCCCACGCTGCCCAGCTCCTGGCCACTGGCCACTGGCACAACCGGACGGCATCCACTGGCGCAGGACGGCCCCGAGGCTCACCTTTAACCAGCCAGCGTAGAAGAAGAACTGGAGAAGAGTGAAGATGGGTATGAAAAGGTCGAGCTCGTGGCCCGGGTAGGACTTAGCTGGATCCAGGAACTGCCGCCCTATCAGACAGGCCAGAAGGAAGCTATAGACGGCGACGGTGACCACCTGGGTTATGAGGTGGAGAAGGCCGTGAGTCACCCCACACTGAAGAGGGGGCTCCTTCCCTCCCATGCCTCCTGCCAAGACAAGCGGAGACATCGACGGGCTGATGGCCTCCCCGCATCGGGCCGGCTTCTCCACCA